GGTTGGGAAAGCTGTTAATACCAAGTTTGTCTATGGCTGCTCTGGGAAGCTGGCCAGGCTCAGGTTAGTGACATTCCAGGAGCCTGAATTGGGAATCTTTATGCAATCACAAGGCTTCGTGACTTCTAGGGCAGTTTTGTCTGCATAAGGAATACAAGGAAGGCACAGAGCAAAGGGATTAGCTTGTGCGTCGAGCCTGAAACACTTGCTTCTTGGCCAGTGGCATTTTGTTAGTTAGAGGGCAATGCCTTCAGTGGGCATTCAGCAAGCAAGCAGGCAATACAGAATCCTCAAAAGAGAAACTTTTCTCATTAATGATTATTTTCTTCAAAAATCAAAACCAAAACCAAGCCCCCAAAAGTCTTTGTACTAGGTACAAACAGGTTTAAGCACAGGAGAGCAGAGCTAAGATTCCCCCTTGGTGCTGGGTGGAACTTGCAGGTTTCTTCCTGGGATCCGACCAGGACTTCTGAACTAGAAGCGAACAACGTCAAGGTTGGAAAGTCCTGTGCTGGTGAGAACTGTGAGAGATCTGGTCGCCCCTTAGTTGTTACACAAAGATAAGCTGCAGATTGCCCTCTCTTATTTCCCCCTGCTGGAGGCAGCAGAGACCTGGAGAAACCATAGCCCACAGTGGATTTCTTTCATTCCTGCTGCGGGGGCATTGGCCACATGAGGGGACAGCAGAGAGGTAACATAAAAGACAGTGGGGACTGGGTACAGTGGCTCATGCCTGTAATCCCAGCACTTTGGGAGGCCAAGGCAGGTGGATCACGAGGTCAGGAGACAGACCATCCTGGCCAACATGGTGAAACCTTGTCTCTACTAAAAATACAAAAAAATTAGCTGGGCATGGTGGCACACCCTGTGGTCCCAGCTACTCGGGAGGCTGAGGCAGGAGAACTGCTTGAACCCAGGAGGTGGAGACTGCAGTGAGCCAAACTGCACTACAGCTGGGTTACAGTACGAGACTGTCTCAAAAAAAAAGACAGTGGGAATGTACCCACCTGTGCTCCCGCTACATCCCCTGGCCGGGTAGTGCCTGTTGCATTTCTGCTTCTAGAGTGAAGCTGATTCCCCAAATGTGCAACACGTGCTGGCCTGGTGAGCTCCTTTTTCGGCCTTTCCCACATCTGCCACTAAGGGTGCAAGGATTTCAATGGCAGCGATTTTTAAAGTATGTTCATGAGGCAGGAATAGTTTGAGGATTCTTCTTGCTTTTATTTGTTCCTGACTTGTCCACTTAGGTGATTTGTTTGAGGCCTTAGGGGCAAAGGTTTGTGCTCCTTTTTGTGCCTGTTCCAGGACTTCATGTTGCTGCAGGACAATCAGCATCTATTTCTAGCCCACTGCTTCTCTGCCCTGGCTACTCACTCAGCATTTACTCACCTTTAAGGCCTTAGTAAGCTTTCTTCCTAACAGTGTCAAGGTGATAAACAGTTCAAATGTTTTCTGATTGATAGGTGCTGAATCTGACAAGGGCCTGCCTAGGAGCACCATACAGTCTGATGGAGACTTGGTCCTTTTTGGGTGGAGCAATGAGTAGAGAGAGTAGGTCCCTCAGATTCTTGGTACTTTCTGGTAAGAAGAGGTGGCATTCATCTGTATAACGGGAGGTCCTGTCCTGCCTCCAAGAGTTGTTAAAAGGATTAAATGAGCATGTCTGTGGAAGTACCAGCACATGCATACAACAGGCGCCTGAGTGTTGCTGCTACGGTTGTTATTGTCATTGTTGCTGTTATTATTATGATTCTTGCTTGCTTGAGAGTCTCTCAGTCATCCTTTGCTTTTGCTTCAAGCAATCAATCCTCCAGGCCTAATGCAGAAGCCACCTCCTTTCCCAGTTTGTAAAACTATCAGTCCCAAATCCTTGTGCCTGGGAGAAATGGTCTTCTGACCCACCTACTTCAGGTTTCTCATCTTTTTTTTTTTTTTAAGACAGAGTCTCACTGTGTCACCAGAATGCAGTGGCACCATCTTGGCTCACTGTAACCTCTGCTTCCCAAGTTTAAGTGATTCTCGTGCCTCAGCCTCCTGAGTAGCTGGGACTATAGGCATGCGCCACCATGTCTGGCTACTTTTTGCATTTTTAGTAGTGACAGGGTTTCATCATGCTGGCCAGGTTGGTCTCAACTCCTGCCCTCATGTGATCCACCCATCTTGGCCTCCCAAAGTGGTTCCTCACATATTTCAATTCTAACTGGCAAGTGGGCTTTCTGGGTGCATGTCACCAAATGCCCTCAGCTGCTAAAGGTTGGAGCTGATATTCTCCACATGCTCCTGGACCCTAGGCCTTCTCACTGGCACTCCAAACCCTTCTCTCTGGGCTGCCTTCATTATTCCTGTGTCCCTTGTCGGTCCCACACTCCATAGACTCTTTGGTAGGCCTAAGGTGGGAGGAGACACGTGCAGTGCCGGACCCCATAACGTGACATGGCATAAAGAGCCTCTGGGGTGGTTGCTACCTGGGTTCATATCTTTACCACTCACTGGTTATGGGCCCTTGGGAAAATTACCTAATCTCTGGGTGCCTCAGTTTCTCCATCTAAAAATGGGGATAATTGTACCTATCTCATAGAGTTGCAAGGATTTGTGAATTAATAAATACAGTGTGGCGGGAACCATGGCTGGTATGCCATATATAAGCAGTAGCTATTAATATAATAACTGTTATCACATATTCATTATCTGTATCAAGTAGGTATTATTATCATTTTCAGTTTAAGAGAAGGCAATACAGTGCTATATTTAGACTGGAAAATTTTAAAAAAATATATAACCAAAATTGGATTGTCTCTGATTCCATGTCATACAAAGCAGAGTGGCCTAACTTTGCAGCTATGGGACAATGGCATTTTAGGACACAGAATCTCTAGGTCCCACTCAATTCATACCTGCAAGTGAGTATACTGAGCACTGGTTCAAGTGCTGGAAGTTGGAATCCCTCTAGGCAAAAAGATGGTCTTTTGGCCTTAGCCCTCTCTCTGTTTGGTATTCATTCAGGAATGGACCCACCTCCCCTATACTCTGCCAATTTACACCCCCAAGGAAAACAGGAAAGATCTGACAGCAACTTATTCACACTCTTGCTTTCCAGGTCAAAAGTCATGGATCCAGCCTTCACACTTGGTTTGACTCACTCAGAGCCTTAAACATATTTCAGTTAGTTACCATCAGTTAAAAACTGGGCTGGGTATGTGGTGGTTCACGCCTGTTATCTCAGAGTTTTGGGAGGCCAAGATGGGAGGGTAGCCTAGGGCCAGGAGTTCGAGACCATCTTGGGCAAGACTCTGTCTCTACAAAAAAATTTTAAAAACTAGCTGAGTGTAAGCAGTGTGTGCCACCAACCTCAGAGGCTGAGGCAGGAAGACCACTTGAGCCCAGGAGTTTGAGGCTGCAGTGGGCTATAACTGTGCCACTGCACTGTAGCCTGGGTGACAGAGTGAGACCCTGTTTCTAAAAAAAAAATTTTTTTTTAAATTGAAGATTCTCCAATAAAACTCCAAATTTCTACCATCTCTTAAAAAGGAGCTCTGTCAATATGAGCCTCCCTTCCACATGGCTGCCATGGGCTGGAGCTAAGTAGCAGGTATGGGTTTTAGTTTGCCACAGTCCTCACCACAGTTTCAACTCTCTCATACTACAGCCAACAGTTAGCTGCCATTTATAACTATGCTTGTTGCTGCTGCTGGTTTCTGATAACCACCTGCTTCACTCACATTGCTTGCTTGGTTTCTGTAGACACTTAGATTTTTGACTTGCTATTCTAGGAGTTTCCATTAAACATGTATTTTAAGTGTTTTATTAATAGGTATGGAATAGAAAGTACTTTCCTCCTATTGCATGAATTTTAGGCACCAACAAGCAAACCTGATGGTTAATGTGGATTGTTGTAGGGAGCGAGGACAAGAAAGGTCACCTTTCTCCTCTCTCCATCCCTTGACAGGCTCTTCCAGATCTGAAAAGGTGCTTCAACCTCTTGGAGATCCGCAAGGTGGGATGGACAGATGGATGAATGCTGATGCCCCTTCATCAGTTCCTCCATGGAAAGGAGCTCCCTGCTTGGCCTGTGGATCTTTCTGGGCCAGGCTGCTCACTGAAGCTCTCCCTTCACCTTCTCCCACATGCTGGCCTCATCTTGGCCTGACTTCTGCTTCCTCAATCAACCCCATGCCTTCCAGATGTTGCACTGAAGCTCTCCCTTCACCTTCTCTCACATGCTGGCCTCATCTTAGCCTGACTTCTGCTTCCTCAATCAACCCTATGCCTTCCAGATGTTGATTTTATGCTTTTGAGCACACTGGACCTTATTTTGTTCAGTATGTAATTATTTTTATCTGATATCTTGGAATATACCCCTAGGTCTTCTTTATGAACTGAACTCCATTTCTGAATATTGTGACCAAAAAAAAAAAAAATTCATTAATACTATGTGTTTTCTGCCAGTGAAGGTACACCGTATAATCTGTATGCTCCGAGCCCAAGATGGTGGATTAAACAATTCCTGAAGTTTGATGTGCTACCTATTACGTGGAGATAAGAAAACCACAGAGGCCATAAATGGCAACTTCCTTTTGGAGTCCTGAAGTCGTGTCAGTTCATCCTGATTGAAAGTTCAGCCCTGACAGTGTCTGGAGGGTGGCTGGCCCAGAGGCCAGAGCTGTTGCCACAACAATTTTTAAAAATAGATCACCTTTGAAGGCAGAGCAGATTTCCCTGTAAGCCCAGTACAGATTCTCTGGGGCTCTTAACAGCTACATTTGGATAGAGATTAGCTGTATTTAAGAATAAAAGATTAAAAGAATGCTAGAAGGGGAGAGAAACCAAAGGAATCTGAGGAAAGCAGCAGAGTAGCATAGCTGCAGATGATCAGATAAAGCAAGGAAGGTTCTGTGGCAGGCCTGTGGCACAGCTCTGTCCACCTGTTAATCCATCTAGAAGGCAGCCTGTTTACAGACTCAGGTGCCTGTGAGACAGGAAGAGAAAAGGATTCTTCTCACCGTGATGCTCGGGTCTCCCTGAAGCGACAGCAGCGTGGGCGACGATGTGTGCGGAGTCTGCTGCCTCCTCTTGAGAGGGGCTTCTACTCAGGATGATGAGATGTGCCTGTCACCACAGAAAGAAGAAACATGTTGTTTACATGCTTGGCAGCAGCAACAGGGAACTAACTGTCCTTACAGAGATAAGCAGAAAGCCAAGGAACTTTCCAGCAAGCTAGAAGAAATAATTTATATGGAAGTGCAATCAACTCACAGGAGAGCTGGATTTTAAAAGCACTGAGTAGTGGAGGGGGATACTGGACAATGAATCCAGATTGCTCAAAGCTATGGTTAGGGCCTGGCACTAAGCAAATCATTAAACGTCTATGACCCTTTGAGTGCAGTGTCAGCAAAGAGGAAAGGGGAGTTACAAGAAGTAAAGATATGGATAGAAGATGTCAATGCTGTGTAGAGAAAGGGAGCAAGCCCAGTGCCCTGCCTACTGGTCAACCCCAAAAGTGGGACCTACCCATGGGTGTCAGCAACCTCTCCACAGAAATATAGACCCTCCTTTGTACTTGAGCCACTAAGCCCATTTGTCTGCACCCTTTGCAAACTGGCTCAGGGGAGCTGCCCAAGCACACAAAGCAGCTCAGTTCCTTGAAAATAAAGTCCAATAAAATGTTTCTGGCCAGGCACAGCAGCTCACGACTGTGATCCCAATACTCTGTGAGGCCAAGGAGTTTGAGACCAGCGCGACCAACATGGTGATACCCCGTCTCTACTAAAAATATAAAAATTAGCCAGGTGTGGTAGTGCACACCTGTAGTCCCAGCTATCTGGAAGGGTGAGGCATGAGAATCGCTTGAGTCTGGGAGGTGGAGGTTGCAGTGAGCCAAGATTGCATCACTGCCTCCAGCCTAGGCGACAGTGACTCTTGTCTTAAAAGAAAAAAAAAGAAGTTTTTAAACAGCAAACAAAAAACTATGATCTTATGAACATAAAATCACAATAATCCTTTCAAGTAACATGCAAAATACTTTCTTTCAAATAAAAAGATAAGTAACTACTCATCACCCTGTCAACATTTGGAGTTTTAAAATGCTATTAGTAACATGTTTACATTCATTCATACTTGGGATCCCCTACTACAGGAGAGGTATGGGCTATAAAGTGTGGGTAGTACAGGAAAATAAAATATGGTGAAGTAAGATAATACACTAATGTGAGTCAGTAGGTAGTTCACAATTAATTGCCAAGAGTGAGAGAATACTAAATGCTATGAGTAGCACAGCACTTTGGGAGACTGGGGCTGGTAGATTGCTTGGGCTCAGGAGTTCAAGACCAGGCTGGGCAACATGGTGAAACCCTGTCTCTACAAAAAATATGAAAATTAGGTGTGGTGGCATGTGCCTATAGCCCCAGCTACTCAGGAAGCTAACATGGGTGAACTGCTTGAGCCTGGGAGGTTGAGGCTGCAATGAGCTATGATTGTGCCACTGCACTTCAGCCTGGATGACAGAGCAAGACCCTGTCTCTCTCTCTCTCTCTCTCTCTCTCTCTCTCTCTCTCTCACACACACACACACACACACACACAGAGAGAGAGAGAGAGAGAGAGAGAGAGAGAGAGAGACAAAGATAAAATGCCATGAGTTTAAAAGGAGGAAAACATTAGATTGGGATAGGCAAAACACACTAGCAATTCGTAAGATGTAAGCTGCACTTCAATTCTTTTTTATTTGTAATACCAATTTTAATTTTCTTTTTCTTCTTTTTTTTTTTTTGGACGGAGTTTCGCTCTTGTTACCCAGGCTAGAGTGCAATGGCGCGATCTCGGCTCACCGCAACCTCTGTCCCCTGGGTTCAAGCAATTCTCCTGCCTCAGCCTCCTGAGTAGCTGGGACTACAGGCGTGCGCCACCATGCCCAGCTATTTTTTTTATTTTTAGTAGAGACAGGGTTTCACCATGTTGACCAGTATGGTCTCGATCTCTCGAACTCGTGATCCACCCGTCTCGGCCTCCCAAAGTACTGGGATTATAAGCGTGAGCCACCGCGCCCGGCCAATTTTCTTGATAATTGTTATCTTCATTTTATACATGAGAAAACTGAGATTGCTGAATGGGTGATTACCCAAGATACCTCACAGCTAATAAGAGATAGAGATAAGAGTCTAACCCTCATCCTCTAACTTCAAATTCTACAGTTTCTATCATGTCTTGAGTGCTGCTATTCCCCTGACCCTAGCCAGTGGTGGCAGACATCACTAATTGATACCAGCATACTCTTCAAGGAACCCAGATTCAGTCCTCAGGAGATCAAGTCATCCCAGTTGAGTATCCTAGTCTGGAACATGCAGTACTCTCTTCTAATGACCAGCTGAACACATTTCTGAGACTATAATCAGGGTGGAGATATAATTTTTCCACTCTAGACTGTCACCTTACTTATCACATGTTAAAATCTGCTGAGCTACTAGCTCTGGACTTCTTTATTTTATTTTTTGAGATGGAGTTTTGCTCTGTGGCCCAGGCTGGAGGGCAGTGGCGTAATGTTGGCTCACTGCAACCTCCGCCTCCCAGTTCAAACGATCCTCCTGTCTCATCCTCTTGAGTAGCTGGGATTACAGGCACCCACCACTATGCCCAGCTAATTTTAGGTAGTTTTAGTAGAGACAGAATTTCATCATGTTGGCCAGGCAGGTCTCAAACTCCTGACCTCAGGTGAGCCACCTGCCTCAGCCTCCCAAAGTGCTGGGATTACAAGTGTGAGCCACTGTGTCTGGCCAGCTCTGGATGTTTTATGATGGAGCTACTCCAAAATAAGATTGCAGGTAATAATTTTTACTTGCTGCATTAGAATAGAGAGAATTTCTTATTCATAAGTGCCATTAATACCCTAAGATTTGAAACGACTTTTCTTATTCTAGAATATAAAGAATTGAATACATGGTTTTGGCAACCCCAAATTAGCCACTGTCCTTATTTGGCATGAAAGGCTGAATCTTAAGTTCTGACTTGAAATGCTTTTCAAATAATGGGCACTATGAAATGCAACTTCATGTATGTAGAGACAATAGAAGCCACAGATATAGAGTCAAATTATTACTTGTGCAGTGTTTGGAGAAAGGAAAAAAGAGAGGAAATGCCAGCCCCCCATGCCAAAAAAATGCCAAATGCAAATTCAGCCATGATTACTTTGTGTTTTTCCCCTATCAACTCTATGGTCTGTTATTTGAAGAGAACAATCACTGTGTAATGCCAGAGAAGCTTTAACTCATATTATGCAAAGACATACAATATTTTAGATTAAAACTAAAATTCAAGAAAGATTTTATATTTTGTTTCTTCCTACTCAGTATTATAAATTCAAGAAAATGTTACTAGATATGTCTAACAAAATTATATTCAAATGAATAATTATATGTTCTGAAAGCACTGTAAGTTGGTTTTTTATTTTGCCATGGAGAGAGAAAGCAAAGTTTTCCAAGAGCAAAATACATATAATATCAAGAAAGTGAGTCAGGCCGGGTGCAGTGGCTCATGCCTATAATCTCAGCACCTTGGGAGGCTGAGGCAGGAGAATCACTTGAGTTCAGGAGTTTGAGACTAGACTGGGCAACACAGTGAGAACCCATCTCTACTAAAAAATAAAAAAAATTAGCCAGGTGTGGTAGCACATGCCTGTAGTCCCAGCTACTCAGGATGCTGAAGTGGGAAGATGGCTTGATCCTGGGAGATCAAGACTGCAGTGAGCAGTGATTGTGTACTGTACCCCAGCTTGGTGACAGAGCAAGACTCTGTCTCAAAAAAATGAAAAAAGGAAGTGGGTTTTGAAAACTTAAAGGGATCTGAATTTATCACAAAATTTTCATGACTTCAACATTTTTCTACATGAGATGCTAACATAAGCAAATATTTATTATTATTTACTTCAGAAACTCAATCCCTGATGTAATTTATTTGCTGTTCATAAAGCTTTTAAAAACCATATGCTAGAGGAAAGGGTGTTTGAGGGGGGGAACACCGATGATGTCTAAAATGTGCAAAATTAGCATCTCATTTATTCAGTAAAATTCCATTTAATTTCATTTGATTTAATTCAGTCCTATTCAATTCAACTTATTTTCATTTTTAAATGCTTTCTACATGCCAGATATTATGCCAACACTAGGAATTCCCTCTAAAAATTAGATAGGAATTTTAGTTTTAAAAGAGCTCACAAGCAAACTACAAAAATGTAGGCTAGTTTCATTTTATGCAGATTTACAGATGTCACCCCTCACTAGGTTTTTGCACCCAGCTAACTAACTTCCTGTCTACTCTTACTCTTGTCATCATTTCCCAGGATTTCAGTATCCATGAGATTGGCCTGTACTCAATCAGGCAGGAAAGAGACGGGTACATTTAAACAGGTTAATAGAGGAAAAGAGGTCAATAAAATGATTCTTGGCACAGAGGAAACCCAAGATGAGCATGCTGGGCCCCAAGTCAAGGTGCCGTACTATCCTGGGCTTCTAGAGCAAGGGAGGGGGCATTTGCTATTACTGGAAAGAACTGTAGGAAAATGAGCAGTGGCTTTCAGTAGAGAAGCAGCCTACCTGCAGGAACCTTAAGGTGAGGGGCTGGGGGAATGGATGCTCTGTCTCCGCATCTTCCCCAGTCCAGGCTGTGTGCTTCTCAGTTTGAGGGAAAGGGCACTGAGATGGTAATTAAAGGTCAGCCTTTGGGGCACAGAGCAGGGCTGAGAAGGATGCAGAATGTAGCTAAAGGACTACATGGAGATGTCCAGCAAACAATCCAGCTAACACTTTGGCCTTTCAGGTTTCTGACAAACTCACTTTCCTCCTTACTCTCAGCTGCCCAGTCCCCAGATCACACTCCAGACCTCATCATCGTTCACTCTGTGCTACCAGTGGATCCTCCAGCTCACAGACCCATTCTGACTCTTAAGGGGCCCTGGATCTATTGCATCCATGCAGTTCCTAGTCATCTAATCCACCACTCCCCCAACATTCTCACTAGTCATCCGCCCCTCCTGCTGTCCCTTCTTGTCCAGCTTAACGTACATGGCCCATTGCCTGTGTTGAAAATGCCCACCACTAAACCATTATTCTAGATGGTCAA